AGAGAGAGAGAGAGAGAGAGAGAGAGAGAGAGAGAGAGAGAGAGAGGAGGAGGAGGAGGAGGAGAAGCAGGAGGAGCGGGAGGAGCAGGAGAAGGAGCGGGAGGAGCAGGAGAAGGAGCGGGAGGAGGAACAAGGGGAAGAGCAGGAGAAGCAGTGGGAGAAGGAGGAGCAGGAGGAGCGGGAGGAGCAGCAGGAGGGGGAGCGGGAGAAGGAGTGGGAGGAGGAACAAGGGGAAGAGCAGGAGAAGCAGTGGGAGAAGGAGGAGCAGGAGGAGCGGGAGGAGCAGCAGGAGGGGGAGCGGGAGACGGAGAGGGAGGAGCAGGAGGAGGAGCGGGAGGAGGAGCGGGAGGAGGAGCGGGAGGAGCAGCAGCGGGAGGAGGAACGGGGGGAAGAGCGGGAGAAGCAGCGGGAGGACGAGCAGGAGGAGAAGCAGGAGGGGGAGGGAGAGAAGGAGAGGGAGGAGGAGCCGGAGGAGGAGCGGGAGGAGGAGTGGGAGTGGGAGGAGGAGCGGGAGAAGGAGGGGGAGGAGGACGAAGTTGGAGCGGGAGGAGCGGGAGGAGCGGGAGGAGGACGGAGTTGGAGCGGGAGGAGCGGGAGGAGGACGAAGTTGTCGTGGAGGAGGAGCGGGAGGTCAGTCGCTCTCCCTCTCTCTCTCTGTGGCTAGCCACGTGGCGGGCCTTTTTCCTTTTTTTTCATAGGAGATGGCTATGGCGGGATCTTTGTCACGTTGTTTGTCGGGGGAGGGGCGGGAGTAGGAGCAGGAGCAGCGGGAGAAGGAGCTGGAGGAGGAGCGGGAGGGGGAGCGGGAGAGGGAGCGGGAGGAGGAGCGGGAGGAGGAGCGGGAGGAGGAGCGGGAAGAGGAGCGGGAGGAGGAGCGGGAGGAGGAGAGGGAGGAGGAGCGGGAGAAGGAGCGGGAGCGGGGCTATGGCGGGATCTTTGTCACATTGTTTGGCGGAGGACGAGCGGGAGGAGGAGCGGGACGAGCAGGAGAAAGAGCGGGAGAAGGAGCGGGAGGAGCGGGAGAAGGAGTGGGAGGAGTGGGAGAAGGAGCGGGAGGACGAGGAGCGGGAGGAGGAGTGTATACACATCTAGATACTGGTACAAATGCTGCCTGATAGTACACTAAAAAATGAAAAGGAAAGCATCATACTCTGATCCATGCTTCTTGCTCTGGTTAACGCCCTTGT